TGCCTTTTTATGGCAAACCTTTCAGGAAGTATGTGTTTATCGTTTTTGTACGTTTGGATATCTAGCACATGAATCAATAACAGATTATATATCAATCAGTTATGGGGAAATTTCTGTATGTAAAGCGAGTCTTGGCCTTACAAACTTACCACAAAACTTAACTACAGATCGACACGTTAGTGTCATTTGACACTATAATTACCATAGTATAGTAACAAGTACTGTATTTTACAGGAGATTCTGAAAATATCACATCATTATCTATAATTTGAGGCAAACAAACACTCACCTACTATTCTCCTTTCTTTCAGACAGCCACACATATTTGACACCTTCTCCAAATTGGATTTGTTTTTGTTGTTGAGGTTGGACAGAATGTCGGTTAAAATGTCTAAAGACACCTCTCCAAAGCTGAGGTTTCTCTGGTCTCTAGTGGGGAATGAAAACATGGTATTTTTTGCCATTTCTTTCGAAAGATTAATCGATTGTCACTCAAAAGTAATCGCTTGAAACCGCTTTCCGACCTGCAGGGGGCGCCTTTAACGCAGAAGCAGCCCGATTCTTCCGTTATCACCAAGAGAGGTTTAAATACTGTCAAAATATTTTACTTTGCAGCATGTCACTTTAATACTTAATAACTTGGCAATATAAATAATATATTTTAGAAAAGGTTAAATTAAACAGGTTTAGTTTTCAAAAATCATAAATTAATTAGCATAATGACTGTGATTATGGAGGACGAAACCCGCAAAAACAATAAATAAATAAATAAATCCTCAAATTCCAGCTTAAATAAAACGATAAATTAATAAATACATACATAGGCCTAAATACGCAACTAAATAAATGAATGGAGTCCACAAATTCCTGCCTAAATAAATAAATGCCCAAATAAATAAATGAATGAATAAATAAATAAATACGCAAATTTCTGCATTAAAAAGCATAATTAAATAAATACGTAAATAAATAAATGAATAAATAAATAGATCTACAAGTTCCTGTATAAATAAAACCATAATAACCATAAATAAATATACATCTACAAATTTCTGCATAAATAAAAATATAAATAATTAATAGTGCGGGCAGATTAATAAAATACATGTTGGTGGAATAATATTTATTTGTGCAGGATGTGTTTATATATATATGTTGTGCATATGTATTTATTTTATTGATTTATTTACTTATTTATTTGCCTATTTATCTATTGTTTAATTTATGCAGAAATTTGGGGATTTTATTTATTTATTTATTTGCATATTTGTTTGTTTGTTTATTTATTTATTGTTTTATTTATGCAGGAATTTATGGATTTTTTATTATTTGCGTGTTTAATTATTTATTTATTGTTTAATTTATGCAGGAATTTATAGATTTGTTTACTTGTTTGTTTATTTATTTATTTGCATATTTATACATGGATTTATGAATTTATTTATGTAATGTAATGTCATGTAATGTAATGTATATTTGGTATTTATATAGCGCATTTATTGTGTATGGCCAAACACCCAAAGTGCTTCACAATCATGAGGAGGGTCTCTCCACACCACCACCAGTGTGCAGCATCCCCTATATTTACTCATTTATTTATTTATTTTGACATTCATTTATTTATTGTTTTGTTTATGCAGTACTTTATGGATTTATTTACTTGTTTTTTATTTTTGCATATTTATTTATTTATTTATTTGCATATTTATGCATGAATTTATAGATTTTTTTACTGATTTATTTATTTTGATAGTTATTTATTTATTGTTTGATTTATGCAGGAATTTACGGATTTTTTTACTTGTTTATTTATTTTTGCATATTTATTTATTTGCATATTTATGCATGAATTTATGGATTTATTTCCTCATTTATTTATTTAGAAAGTTATTATGTATTGTTTGATTCATACAGGAATATATGGATTTATTTATAAATTATTTATTTATTTATTATTTAAAGTAACTCTTTTTTATCTGTTAATTAATCTTTTTTGTTATTTTTATATATATATATATATATATATATATATATATATATATATATATATATATATATATATATATATATATATATATATATATATATATATATATATATATATAT